ATGGAGATTCAAACACGGTTATCATAGTAATGATGCAATAACTTTTAGAGAAAATGAAAAATGGCGATGGATATGAAGCAGATGAGGAAAGAAAAAAGCGAAATTAATAAACAATTATGTTAAGTAAGACAAGAGAACCAGAACTTGAGAAGAGAGGTAAAGCAACTAGAAGAAACACTGTGTTACATATAAAGACAAAGTAGACAGACACACCTAATAATATCAATTCCGGTTTCCTGCTACAGAGTCTGCAATCTGATAAGTCGTTTGTCCTTTCGCGGATAATATTGTCATGTAAAAAATACCACACCCAGACCAGTCTACCGTGTCTTAAGTATCGAATGACAGAAAAGGAAGAGGAAAAATTACAAAATAGTTTTAAACATGATACAAATAATAACACAGAGAAAGCAGTAAGAATAAAATTATTATTAGGATCTTAGAAATACTGGATTTATGAGAAACGTAATAAGGAAATAAGATGGGAAATGTTAGAATAAGACTTTTTTTATTAGCAGTGACCCAAATAGATATTTAGAAGTGGGTTTTATGGTGTCAGGAAATTTTGGATGGCATAAAATATTACTAACAGACGATGGAAAAGCCAGATTCTAGAGAAATTTCTAGATAAATTCTAGGGTGCTCAGAACATTTCAAGTTATCAGGAAAGATTGTATAAGAAACAAAAAAACAGGAAGTCGTTCGATAGAATAAAGAAGAAGAAGACAAAGTTTAGACTTTTTCTACCTAGACTTCTTACTTTTTGCTGACTTTTGTGTCTTCTGCTTTTTTGTGTACATCCTTTTGTGATGAATATGCTACTCCAATTTTGAATTTTCCCTTTTTCTTCTTTTAGATTTACATTCTCACCAACCATCCAAAGATTTTCATTTCTGAATTCTTTTTAATATTTTGTACTGTGTATAGCTTTGATCATCAGATGTAGATAGTTTTCAGCAATGTATTTCCGACATACTTAATAGTCCTGAAACAGAAAATAATATAAACGACTTAAATAATAAATTAACAGATGCTTTACTGGAAAGTCAAAACAAATTCTGTCCTAGAACTCAAAAAGAAGAGAAGATTATGCAAAATACTAGGGAACTAATGCAGAAAAGAAGAGAAATGAGAAGCCAGACGGAAACTAAAGCCGACGAACTACAAAAATTAAATAAAGAAATATCCAAAGCTATTAGACAAGATACTCGAAAATACAACCAAGAACAAATCGAACATACTATTGAGAACAATAGAAGTATGAAAGTATTGAGAAAAAGACTAAAAACGGGGACAACGCAGGTAATAAATATTAAAGATAGAAATGGTCATCTTACAACCAACAGAGAGGAAATACTAAAAATAGTTGAAAACTTCTACAAATTGCTGTACACAAGTCAACACAAAACAAATAGCAGAGAAGATCAAGTACCAGAAATATTAACAAAGAAAAAAGGCATTGTCAACCAAGGATCAGAACTACTACCGGAAATCACAATGGAGGAAATAAAACTAGCCCTAAGAAAAGCTAAGAATAACAAATCTCCAGGCGAAGATTGTGTAGTTACTGATGCAATCAAAATCGGAGGCACTTGCCTACTTAAGAAAATAAAAAACCTTTTTAACGTGTGCCTTTTGGACAGTAATATACCCGACAAATGGCACAATGCTGAGGTAATTCTTTTGTACAAAAAAGAAGATCACCATGAATTAGAAAACTACAGACCTATAAGTCTTCTTAGTCACCTATACAAACTCTTTACAAGAATAGTAACGAATCGTCTTGAGAAAAAACTTGATTTCTACCAGCCAATAGAGCAAGCGGGATTTCGTACCGGATTTAGAACAACTACAGAGCATTAAAACGGTAATAGAAAAGACTATCGAATACAATCGACCACTCGTTCTGGCTTTTGTAGATTTCCATAAAGCCTTTGACACGGTAGAATTTGACAAAATCCTGTAAGCACTACAAGCATGCCGCATTGACTATCGATATACAAGGTTAATTTACAATACATACAAAAACGCAACTATGTCGGTGAAACTACATGAAAAGACGGATCACATCCCAATCGGCAGAGGAGTCCGATAGGGTGATACCTTATCGCCTAAACTGTTTACCGCAGTACTAGAATATGCTTGTAAAAAACTTAACTGGGAAGAGAAAGGCTTGAACATTGACGGTAGAAGATTAACAAATCTGAAATTCGCAGACGACATAGTTTTGTTCTCGGACAACCTCAAGGAGATATGTACAATGCTACATGAGCTTCAGCTAGTGTGTGCCAGTGTGGGTCTTAAAATAAACATCTCCAAAACAAGATTCATGACAAACCTAGTACCTAGCGGAAATATCAATATTGGAGACAACGAAGTAGAGCTGGTGGAAAAATACATATATCTTGGACACGAAATAAAGGTCACAAGAGACAACCAAACATGCGAACTACGAAGAAGAGTAAACCTAGCATGGGCAGCCTATGGAAAACTCAAAGACATCTTTAAAAGCGAGATACCAATTTCTTTGAAACGTAAAACATTTGACCAATGTGTGTTGCCTGTGATGACCTATGGTGCCGAAACTTTGACATTGACAGCTACAAGTTCTAGGACGCTGCAAGTAGCTCAGAGGAAAATGGAAAGATCAATGCTGAGTATATCGCTTCGTGACCGAGTTAGAAATGAAGACCTAAGACGAAGAACAGGAGTTACCGATGTAATTTCCATAATTGCCACACTGAAATAGAACTGGGCTGGACACGTCGCCGGAACCAGTAATGAAAGGTGGACGAAGAGATTGCTTGAGTGGAGGCCGAGATTAGACAAAAGAAGTAGAGGAAGACCCCCTACACGATGGACTAACGATCTCAAAAATATGTCAAGAAATTGGATAAAAAGTGCCCAAAACAGAGCACAATGGACACAAATGAGGGAGGCCTATGTCCAGCAGTGGACGCAAAGGGCTGGAGGATGATGATAATGATGATAGCTTCGATAATTCAATTTTTCTTATGTCTCTTCTTATACTCCACTAGCTGCATGTGTTGCTAAATTTTTTTATTGCAAGACGATGGTAAACAAACTTAGAAAATAAACAGTTATTTAATGCGAGAGTGTAATTAACAAAATGAGCACTGACTCAAAAAAATTAATTTTTTAAGCCCTTTTCTCTATTCGGATTGCCGAATATAGGCCTCGTTTAATTCTCGCCATTCATCTCTGTTGTTTGTAAGACGTTTCCACATTGGCCATGCAGTTCTTTTAATATCGTCGCTCCATCGCATTTGCGGTCTTTCTCGTGTTCTTTTGGCTTCATATGGCCGCCAATTCCCGATTTCTTTATTCCATGCACCATCCGTAAGACGTTCGTTATGTCCAGCCCATTTCCATTTCAGTTTAGCTGCCTATTCGACAGCATCTTTTACTTTTGTTCTATTACGAATGTCTTCACTGGTTTTACGGTATTTAAGTGAGATACCCAACATCTCTCGTTCCATAGCTCTCTGAGTTTTTCTGATCTTCTCCATGTTTATTTTAGTGAATGTTCAGGTTTGAGCTCCATGTGTAAGTACAGGTAAGATATAGAAATTAAACATTTTGGTTCGCAGTCTTTGAGGTATATTTTTACTTTTAAGTGCTTATGAGAGTCGTCCGAATGCTGCTCATCCCATTTTTACACGTCTGGTTATATCGGTATACTTGGATGTTTATCATAGGTTTCTCTTCTTTATTTGACATTAGTTTAGTTTTGCTTACATTGTGTCTCCTTGTCTTACTCCTCGGTTGATTTTTACTGGTCTTGTTTCGATTCCATTACCCAACGTCACTATCATTTCAGCTTGTTCGTAAATATTATGTATTAATATTCTGTACTTGAAGTCGATCCGGTTGTTGACTAATGCTTCTTCTATTGCCACAGTTCTACACTATTAAAAGCTTTTTCATAATCTATAAAAACCAGACATAATGGGAGCTTGTATTCGTTAGTCTTTTCTATGAGGATTTTTAAAGTATATAGATGGTCACAGATGCTGTATAACCCGACAAGGGTTATACAGCATCTGTGTGGATAAAAAGTGGAAGGGATTGCTCATTTCTATTGCAGTCGGCTAGGAGTTTACATCGTGTATAACCGTTTAAGTACCTATACTATATACCTATAATCGCGATTAAGTACCTCCCCTATCTCACTTAGAATAATTCCTTTTCTATTTTCGCGCAGCTCACCCGCCAGCTCTCGCTTGTCGGATTATACCCTTTTCTAAATCCGGCTTATTCTACTGGTGAATATCCGTCAAATTTAACTGTTAACCTGTTTGTAATAATCTTTATAAAGGTTTTGTAAAGTTGTAAAAGAAGTGAAATTGGCCGATAAATTTTTAGGTCTGTGGTGTCTTCCTTTTTGTTTATTAATTAGTATTGTTTCAGCAGTATTCCATTGTTCAGGTATTTTGCTTTGGAATAGACAATTAATAAATAATTGATATGAGGTTTAATACTCGAATAAATGAACTTTGAAAAATAAGACAATTATCGAGCACAAGTTTAATTAAATCTTGCCCAAGTACTTTCGCTTAAAATACCATCTTCAGGGGCATTTCGTCCTATATGAGTTATCCAGCAAGCGTAGAATGTGATAAACATGAATGTTAACATAAAATTGTACAAAACACTACACTACACTACACAAACAAGGACAAACAGTTTAAAATTACTTAAAAAGATGCTACGCACTACATTCTTTGTCAGTATCAGGAGAGAGAATGATTCTCGTTAGCCTTAGCCGTTAGGGCTTAGGCATTAGCCTAACCCTTAGGCGTTAGCCTTTTTGGTTTCTGGACACCGAGCTGAGGATCGATCCACTGAACCACTCGCAGTGAAGCGAATGAGAACCGGCCGCCCAGCCCGCTTGATTGATTTTATATTCACATTTTTTATTACTGAGCCATCGTTTACGAATACATTGATAAATAAATAAAAAAATGTAACGAAAAACATTTATTTAATAAATTATAAGTATAAAAAATAATTATATATTATATCGTATAATATCAAACTTTCTAAATTGTTAGCCCTCTTTCTGATTAATTTCTTTAACAACCTCAGCTTCAGGTTTAGATTTTTTTTCTAAAAATAGAACCAATCTAAAAAATATATATATAAAAAATTAGATGTTCCCTAAAAAAATTTATTGCGAGAAAAACAATAGGAAAGTTATAGAAATTAAAATAAACATGGTAGAAATATCTTTCAATCTATCAATTTTTTTGTTACTAGTGCTTAAATTTAATACATAATTATAGCAACATTAGTTAGATATGATGATTGTTAACACATTCTTTTTAAACAGAGAAGGTCTTATCTCTCAGATTCTAGATTTTTTACCAAGACGATATACGTGAATGTAATAAATGCAAGGTAAGAGTTGTGACATTATAAGCCAACAGATTCAAGTATCATCATCATCATCTTTGCCCCGACAATCCTCTGTGGATCCTGGTCTACTCAGATTAGTCGCGATTATGTTCAGTTTCTGGTAACGTGTTGCCATATTCTGATCTCTAGTATCCTTAAGTCGGTCTCAACTCCATTTAACCACCTAATCGGCCTCCGCTTCTTCTTCCTATAAGCGTTCCTGTCGTTAGTTTTTTAGCAATCATGTTGTCAGGCATTCGTATTATGTGTTCGGCCCATCTAAGTCGCTGTGTTTTAATGAAAGTTACATCTGGTTCAATCTACATCGCTAGTAGTCACTAGCGAGCCAACGTATGTGAAACTGTCAACACGTTCAAAGATATGAGTTCCAAATACTGTTTCCTGTTTCTCATTTTCTAAAGGATTCTTAGTAACCAACATGTAGTTGGTTTTATCTTCATTGGTGACTAGACCGACCTTTTTCGCCGCCGTTTCCAATTCTAGGAAATATTGCTCATCTAGCGTGCTACGCTCTATTATGTTAATGTCATCAGCATATGCTAAGATTTGTATCGATCTATTGTAAATAGTACCACCGTCTCTAATTCGTGTGTCTCGGACTGTCTTTTCCAAGGCAATGTTAAATAGTAGGCAAGCCAGGGCATCCCCTTGTCTGAGTCCATCCCCTGGCTTTTAAGTTAGACATTGTCATTCTCGTAACCGGTGTTTTTTTAACCATCTAAAGAAATTGAAATTGAAACTGATGCAAGTAAAGATGGTCTAGGTGCCTGTTTGCTGCAAGATGGCCATCCAGTAGCATTTGCATCGAGGAGCTTAAGTACAACTGAGCAAAAATATGCTCAAATTGAGAAGGAAATGTCAGGAATAGTGTTTGCATTTCAAAAATTCCATTATTTTGTGTATGGTCACAATGTATTTATTAGTTGTGATCACAAAACACTGGAATCAATAATTTGTAAAGATTTATGCTCAATATCCCCATGATTGCAAAAAATTTAACGTTATTGAAATATGACTTAACCTCCTGGGGCCTAGTGTCATATATTCATAACATAAAAATCAAACTTTTCTAGTGACGCCATCTCACATAATTTATTATAAACTTAGCAACTGATACCAAAGAAAACTACTTTACTTTCTTAGAGTTGCCACCTGTATAATGTAACTGTTAAATATGTGAAGTTACGTCCTTGTTCACGACGTAAGTAATCATAAAATATTAATGTCATCATATACTTTTTGTACATATTTTTATATTTATTGTATATCTAGATGATGAGTTTTTGCTATTCGATCTTTATTTTGTAAATTCATGAGGACATGTTTTGATGGTGGCACGTAATAGTTTTATGTAATATAGGTATTACATGGGGACTCAACCCCCTTTAGCTTATGTCATATAGGTATTACATAGGGTCTTATTGTATACTGACAATGTTGTATGACTTTCGACAATGTAACAAATGTTTCATTTGTTGCAGCACTAACTCAACAAGAACTTGAACAGCTTCTTTACGAATCGGATTTAAACCTTTCCGATGATGAAGAAGATGCCTTAGTTGTGTCGCCAAAATCAGATAATGACGATTCTGACAACATAAATTCTTCAGACAATTAGGACACCTCAGAAGAAACCTCAGAGGCTCCATCTGAGTCAGTATTATCACTCTCATCGTCACTAACACAAAAAACACGTACGTTTCGTAGATCTATCAAAGCAGGTTGTAGTCGTGGTGCCAGAACAAGAGTAGGACGTAGTGGAGGTCACCACTACCATTACCAGTTGTAACTGATGCATGACCGGTAATTTCACTCCGCTAGAAAGACCCCTTTACCAGCCAATGTATAAAGATATGGATTGTCAGTTATGGACTCCCGAAGATTTTTTTAAGCAATATATTGATGACCGCATATTGGAAACCATGACTGTAGCAACAAATAGAACAGATGTAGAAAGAAAAGGAACAGAGCTGAAGTTGACAAGTAAAGAGTTAAAAACATTTATTGGCATCCTATTTGTTATGAGTGCTATAGAGCTTCCGACGATTAAAATGTATTGGTCGAGAAAGTATGGTCGAGAAAGTATGCTCAAATAAGATCTGATAATATAAGTATAGATGAAATGATAATACCTTTCACCGGTCATTGCGGAATTCGTCAATACTGCCCAGGAAAACCAAACCCTGTTGGTATTAAGGTTTTTGTACTTGCCAATCCCAATGGGTTAGTATGCGATATGATAGTATATAAGGGTGATTCAACATTCTCAGAGCTTACAGCACAGAAATATGGCTTGGGTGAATCAGCAATTCTGAGTTTGTGTGAAAGTGTTGTTCCTGGTCATCACCTTTACTTTTACAGACCTGAGGTGATCAAGAACTATAACCAGTTCATGGGCGGAGTTGACCTTGTTGACAGAATGATGGCAGTCTGTCCGGCACAAGCACGTACAAGAAAGTGGACAATTCGTTTCATCAGCCACATGCTAGATTTAGCACTTTGCAACTCTTGGTGTAAATACAGAGCAGTACAAAAGGAAAAACATGTACCAACCAAAACTATTCCTCAACTGAGATCATTCAAATTAGATATGGGAGAGCAGATGATTTTGGACAACACTCAGTCCTCCGATTCTGAAACATGTAGCGACTACGAAGACCTGGAGCCAAAACATAAAAAAAGAAGAGTCGAAATTCAACCCATACCTGCCGAAGTTAAACGTCTTTATAAGGCTGAACATTTAGTGGACTATGCTGATAAACAAAATAGATGCAGAAAGATCAATTGTAAAAATACCACAACTGCATTTTGTACAAAATGTAAGTTATTTTTATGTAGTACACGGAAACGAAATTGTTTTTTAAAGTTTCTTAACAAAGACTGAGGTCAAATACATTGTACTGTGTATAAAAATAATGAATAATAAAAGATTGTTAAAAAATATGAGTATTTATTGTAGTCTTTCTTTCTTATGTTCAAGCTTATTTTCTTAATAGATAAACCCAATGTCATATATATATATATATATATATATATATATATATATATATATATATATATATATATATATATATATATATATATATATATATATATATATATGACATTGAGAAAAGCCATATTTTCCATGGCATATTTTTTTTTGTCATTTTTTGCTTTAAGTATAAGTCAAATAAAACGGCAAAAATCCAAAATACTTTGAAAATATTTTAAAAAATACTCTGGGTCTCAGGAGGTTAAATGTAGTATGATAAACTGGAGATTATCTGTACATTGCAGATAGGTTGTTACCTGCATTTTTACAAGAAGGTGGTCTGAAATCAGCCGCTAAATTTCAGTTTATGCTGTAGTAAATAATGTAGCTATGTCTGATTCTAGATAATTAGAGTTTTGAATGGAAATCCTAAAAGATGAACAATTGCAAACTGTTATAAACTTATGTATACAGGGATGACCAGAACACCAACGCGATGTTCCACAGACAGTTAATATTTTTTTTTAGCTCAGAGACAACTTATGTATCTGTGATGACTCTGTTATTTTATGGCAACAAAATTGTTACTCCTAAAAGCTTAAGATCTGAATTATGGGGACTGGTGCATGAAGGTCATATTGGTATTGAGAAGTCAAAAGCTAGACCCAGGAAATTCTTTACTGACCAAGAATGAGCAGTGATATGGAGGTTTATATAAAAAAATGTAAAACTTGTGCATTCGATAGCTTTCATTTTAAAAATTTTACCAGAGAATGGAATTGTCAATTTAAATTTAGGTCCTAATTATCCGTGGTCAAATAGACTGGCTGAGAAACGTGTAGCCATTGCCAAGAGTATGGTTAAAAAATTTATTGATTATTACAGTTCTAACATTGAATCAATATTGTTACAATATATTAATGTGCCCCTTAAACACATTGGTTATACTCATTTACAGATTTTATTGAGCAAATACTGTAGGACTAAGTTACCAATTGACTAAGATGAAATAAAACCAGCAGTATGTCTAAATGTTGAAAAATTAAGTAAACTAAGAAATATGTATGTAAAAGACTATAACCAAGTCTTTGGAACCTGATTCAGATATTGTTATGTACAATCAATGTCAAAGGAGGTGGGAGCAAACACAAATATTATCACAGCACGAAGTCCCAAGGTCTTCTATCTTAAATGATAAGCATAATAATATTGCTCGTCGTAATGGATAAGATATTAAAGAATCTCTAAATAAATTTAGCCAAAGAATCCTGGCTTGAGAATTTATGTAAAGAAATAGAAGACCTCCAAAAAAAGCATGACAGCTTCAACCTGCATAAGAAACTTAAATATACTGCCGGAATTAGAAAACAGAAAAATGCTCACATACTTAAAAGCGCGGACGGAAAAATTTGTGATCACGAACAACAGGGCAAAGAATGGGACAGATACATCACTGACCTTTTTGACGATGCTTCTAGAGAAAATGCTCCAAATACTGCCTGTGACAACCAGTTGGACAGAGGTCCCAATATACTGAATTCGGAAGTCGAAAAGGCAATACAGCAAGCCAAAAACAATAAAGCACCTGGACCAGATAAAATCCCTGCCGAACTACTTAATCTTTTGGATGAGGAAAGCATTGCCTGCTTAATCACTTTCTTCAACAAAATTTACAACGAAGGAAAAATATTAGATGATTGGTTAGAGTCACTGTTTATAACATTACCAAAGAAAAGCAGGTCCACCAAATGCAGCGATTTTAGACTAATAAGTTTGATGAGTCACACACTGAAGATACTCTTACGAATTATACAAAACCGAGTATTCCTTCTATGCGAAAGTAAGATGGGTGATAAGCAATTTGGATTTAGAAACGGTCTAGGAACTAGAGAGGCACTATTCTGTATGCGCGTTCTATTACAAAAAAGTTGTGAATTCCGAAAGAATGTTTATGTTTGTTTCATCGACTTCGAGAGGGCGTTCGACAGAGTCCAACACATTACACTTTTCGACTGCCTACGGGCAGCAGGACTTGGCCACTATGATATAAGACTGCTGAAATACTGATATTACAATCAAGTAGCCTCTATCCAAATTGGAGACAGTCCCACTGAAAAAATATCCATCAAACGTGGAGTACCACAGGGTTGTGTTTTGTTACCCACTCTTTTTAATCTGTACTCTGAAGAAATCTTTAGGGAGGCTTTGGATGACAGACAAGAGGGAGTAAGACTAGGTGGAGAAGTAATCAACAATATTAGATATGCTGACGATACAGCCATTCTTGCAGAAAGTTTACAAGATCTCCAAACATTACTAAATCTAGTCAGTGAAGCAAGTTATCGGAGAGGCCTAAAAATCAACATTTCAAAGACAAAGTGGATGGCAGTTGGAAAGATCCATATAGATCAAGGTCTGCTTTCTCTTGGCAGCTGGTTAAATGTAAATTGTGACTCTGATGAAGAGATAATATCCAGGATCGAAATATCACGTAAGGCTTTTATGGCCTGGAAACCAGTTTTATGCAACAGAAACCTGTCAATGAATATTCGTAAGAAGGTCCTGAAATGTTATATTTGGTCGATCCTATTGTATGGTTGTGAGACATGTACGTTAAAAACCACAATGCTAAACAAGTTAGAAGCATTCGAATTGTGGTGCTATAGACGAATCCTAAAGATATCGTGGGTTTCGCACACTTCCAATGAAGATGTTCTTCAAATGATCAATTCAGAACGTCTGCTCATAAACACCATAAAGAGGAGAAAAACAGAATACTTCGGCCATATAATTAGAGGACCTAAATACCATTTACTTCGCCTTATAATACAAGGAAAAGTGAAAGGAGATGGATTGGTCGAAAGAAACTTTCATGGTTGCGTAATATTAGACAATGGTGTGGTTTCACAGTAGAAAAATTATTTCGCGCAGCAACCGACGGGAGATAGGTTTCAGGAAATTGTAAACATGATGACGGCCAACGTCTGGATATGGACACGGCTCCCAAAGAAAAAGCAATAAATTTAAGTCAAAGCCATCTGTGGTACAGATACCAATGATGTGGATTCAAATCAAGAACCCCCATCCCTAACACAGCTGACAAGGGCAGAATTACCTAACTGTATTGATATCAAAAGGATTGTAACTGAACAATCAAATATTTTCAGAACTAAATCAAGTCAAGTAGTTAAACCACCTTTAAATCAAAATTTCTGAAAAGGGGGAGAAATTGTGATAGCAATGACAGTAACCAGTCAGCATAGCTGTCACCAGGATGTACACAAGATGTAGTTATGAGTCAGAAGGTGAAGTAACTAGAGTTATATCTTACATACTTACATTACTAAAGCCATGGTTATTGCCAATAATGAAATGGAAAGTAGATTATATAATGCAGAATTTAGATAGATCGTACTGTTATATACTAATGTATATACAGGTGTTAAAGCAGCAGAAACTAATGCTCCACCTCCAACAACCATTGCGAATATCTTACCAACTTCATCAGATGGTACTAAGTGAGATATATGTGCTCGTAACATGGGAGCGACCAGACCTCCCAAACATTTTGAAACGCCAGCTGAAATAGATATATTAAACACTTATTAATTATAAACATAAATATGCAAACAAATAATTAGAAATTAGTAACATTTTCCGGAGCGCACGATGTGTTGTTATGATTGATATAAATAACAAAACATAATTCGCAACAAAACTCCCGATATAAAGAACCTTCGCCCACTCAAACGTCACGTCAGTGACCACTCCACCATAAATGGATCGTCCCAAACAATAGTGAGCAATCTCCACCAGTTCAGTTTATCCCATTTCGACGTTCAGTGTCATCGTTGAAGACATGATTCGATTCCCGATTCTTACCTCAAATGCTCTGCAGAATGCTTCGACCGTTTTGGGGAAGGTTCAATAAACTCAATTATACATTTTGAGATTGTTATTCTTGGACTCGCGTATAAAGCTTGATATACTTACCAATATAAATCATTGTATCGTTGGTTGCCAGAAACTGCAAAATGACGCAACTTAACATTGATATCAACCCTATCAGAGCAAGTACGGAATCCTTTATATGAAATCTCCCCTGAAGAATATAAGTTCCGGTCATTGTACCAAGAACCCAAACTAAACTACAAATACTGTTATAAAGATTGTACTTTGTAAATGTCCAGTTCAGTCTTCCTCGAAGGAAAACATATCGCATACTTGTATCTGCATGTGTGAGAAATATATAAATTATGATGGACGCAAGTGTTAAAATGATTATGGCTCTGTCGTAGTTTTTTCGTTTTTTAATGGTAGTTTGAATTATTTCTTTAAAAAAGTTTAATCGAACCACTTTTTCTTTTTCACCCTAAAATATGCATAAAATTAGTATAAATACAAAAACATCAGTACAATAACCATAAAATTTATTTTTAAATATTTTATTAAAATGTTGACTTTCTGAGAAAAAAAATATGAAGGGTTGTATACTATTTGACTTGACACTAAGGACATCCAGATTATAAAAAATCTATATTGGAATCAAACAGCCCACATGAAGAATGGACATATGGTGAGTGAAAACATAACCATTTCTAGAGGGGTAAGACAGGGCTGTATTCTTTCGCCACTGCTTTTCAACCTGTACACGGAACAAATATTTCTAGAGGCACTAGAAGAGTACAATGAGGGCATCAAGATTAATGGCGTACCAATAAGTAATTTTCGATATGCAGATGATACTATTATACTGGCCGATAACATCGAAGATTTACAGATGATGCTACATAGAGTTAATACAACTGGCAGCCGATTTGGACTGAAGATCAATAGAAAGAAAACTAAATTTATGGTGATCAGTAAAAAAAAATTTCAACATATCGACCTGCATATTGAAGACGAACGTATTGAAAGAGTACACCGATTTAAATATCTGGGATATACAGTAAATGACAAGTGGGACCCAGAAGTAGAGATTAAGATCCGAATTGAAATAGCAAGATCCAAATTCATCAAAATGAGAAAGCTTTTAAGCAACCGCAACCCAAGCATTAACCTCCGATGGCGCGCCACGAAATGCTACGTACTCTCTACGCTACTTTACGGCGTAGAAGGGTGGACGTTAACAGCAGCAACTATAAAGAAGTTAGCGGCTCTAGAAATGTGGCTGTATCGACGCATACTGAGAATACCTTGGACAGACAGAGTGACCAACACAGAGGTATTAAGACGAATGGGTAAAGAGGTGGAATTGTTAACAACTGTTAAAAGGAGGAAAGCGTCATACCTGGGCCATGTGTTCCGTAATGATAAGTACAGTCTGCTACAGCTTATCGTGGAAGGCAATCTTGAAGGTAGAAGAGGTTTGGGCAGAAAGAAGAAATCCTGGCTGAGAAACTTGAGAGAATGGTTTCAAATACCAGAAGCTGCGAACATAATTCATGCGGCACAAAACAGAGAAACCTATCGTATGATGGTCGCCAACCTTCGGTAGAAGACGGCACATAAAGAAGAAGAAGTATACTATTTAAAATCCACAGTTCTATGTTTATCCAATAATATGCATTACATGTGCGGTGTGTTGGAAGTTATAAGTGACCATCTACTGCCAAGTGACAATAAGCTTATCTTGAAAGGTGCAATCAATTCATTTCTGTTTACTTTTGAACTGAAATAAACATGACTATTTCCAATTCTTCACCTATATCATAATTTTAAAGACATTTTTTAAAATACCACACTTAAACACTTTTTTACAATAATAACCACAGGCTTGTTTGTCTTCTTCTTCTCCTTCTTCTTTCTCTTTATAAGCAATTCTGCTTGTTCATTGGCGGATTAATACCTCTGTGGAAGGTTGCGCAGGTTACGAAGGTCGCGCAGGTCGCGAAGGTTACCTTTTGCGCAGTTGTCCAATAATTTTGTAATGCTTGCTATTTTGACGACACCGGTCTCCTCATTCTGCTTATGTGGTTAATCAATTCTTTTCTTTTATTTTCAACTTGTGTCCATTCATTTATACACTGTACGTTACATTTTGTTCTAATGTCTTCACTTGTGAAGGCTTGTTTGTAATAAAGGGAAATAAATAATTTTGAATCATGATCAAGCAATATTAAATAAAAGTAAATAGAGTTAGTTTTCAGAGCTTTTGGTGTCGTGCTTCATCAAATAGGTTTCTTATCCACAGTATTCCTATATTTATAGCTTCGTCTAAGTTTATTTTTATTTCTAGGTAATCGTATTTTTTTACATTGTTTAATTGGTTGCCCAATTTTGGCTGTTTTCCCCTAAAAATGTATCTAGTTTTTCCATATTATTCACAAACAACATTTTTTTAAAATTTTTGTATTTTAAAAGTTGAGTTTGAGTTTTCTTGTCATATGCTCGTGATCGCCATACAGTCATCATACGTAATACAGTCGAACAACTAATAAACACGAACTTCACACAATGCGGTACATACACGTACAACTCAAAATAATAGGGATATATGAAGAGACAGCGTAAAAATAGCAATAAGATCACTGGAAGAACTGAACATTCATAATCACTACGTATTTGTTAAAGTGTTTGTAGCGATGAAAGTGTTGATTTACAGTGCCAAAACGTTGACCATGACAAGGAGAACAGTTCAAAAGATCCGTGTGTTTCAAAGGGCGATGGAGCGTGCTATGTTGGGCGTTTTACTACGAGACAAGATCCCAAATCGCTAGCTAAGACAAAGAATAGGAGTGGCTGATGCAGTAGAGAGAGAACACTGAAATGGATCTGGGCAGGTCACGTGGCTCGAATGACAGATAATCATGGACAAAGAGGATACTGAATGGAGACGAAGAGATGATGCCTACCGAAGCAGAGATCGTCCACCAACACGTTGGACTGACGATCTAAGACGTTGTCATAGGAATTGGATGCATGAGGCACAAGATCGAAATAGATGGAAAACGATGAGCTAGATCTATGTCCAGCATTGGATAAGCGAAAATTGAATGATGATGATGATGAGGGATGAAAACGATGTATTGATACGTTCTTCTTCTTAAAGTGCATATCCGTTTACTTTCGTAAATTTTGAAGCCAGGAAATGCGTGTTCTTGCCGTTCCTCTCTTACCATTTACCTTCCCTTGGAGAATCAGCTGAAGAAGGTCGTAACGTTCTTGATTTCTCATTACATGTCCTAGATATTCCAATTTTTTAGTTTTGACGGTCATGAGAATTTCACATTATTTCCCCATTCTACGCAGGACCTCCACATTAGTAACTCTGTCACCCTAGGATATACGTAAGATGCGCCTATAACACGATATTTCGAAAGCTTCGAGCCGATTCATAGATGCAACAGTCAGTGCCCACGCTTCCATTCCGTAAAGCAGAACTGTGAATATGTAGCAGTTCAATAGACGGCATTTTGTTTTAAATGATATGTCTCGACTGTTGAAAATGGTTCTCATTCTAACGAATGCTGCTTTTGCTTTTATTATTCGCTGTTTAATTTCTGTCAAGTGGTCCCATTGGTTATTTAAATTGGTGCCTAGATATGTATATTGTGGGCCGACAAATTTTTTTCTGGAAAATAACAACGACTGTGGTTAAAAAAGTTGAGTTATACTATAACACAAATTTTAATTCCAAAATGAGTAGCTAAAAATATTTTTTTCCACTGCCACAAAGACTGTATATTTTTTTAATATAAAAGTTCATTGTGGCAGTGGAAAAAATAAAAAATAATAATTATTTCGAACGCAGATCTTCATATTTTTTTATTATATAATTTTTGAAACATCAGGGTTATTTATTTTGTAACTTAAAAAAATTGAAATAAAATCTGTATTGTTTTGGCGGTTTGATGCATACTTTATAACGTATAGTAAACTTTATTTGCGTATTTTTCCACTAACTAATAAGTAGACAAAAATTTATTTTAGGAATCTACTTCAAAGAGTGTGCCGAAATTCCCCAATAACAATAAAGTAGACGTTAGTCTTAGTATAAACAAAGTTAATATTACCGATTATAATATATTATCATTCTTAAAATAATGTGACATTGGAGGTCAACGCTTCGCTTTTGCTGCAGATTTTGCAGTGGTGTAAGTGTAAACCAATATTTCAATCAATTAAACGGTCTAGCGACACTTAAATTATTTTTAGTGTTTTACCGACAGTTGAGTAAAAAGTAGCGTGTGATAAAATGGCTAAAACTAAAGAATCGTCCAAGTGTCCAATTTTTGGCGCACCTAGTGATTTCAATGATTCGCAATTACCAACATACAAAGATGTTATCCGTTATTTTTTGTGGGTTCGTTTCGAATTGGAAAAAAATGGTGTCAATAAGAATCGACTTATTTCAGAAGCTTTGGAAATTGTAGCTCAAAAAGTAGAAACTGTTTGGATCAAGGCTTCAATTCCAATCATAAGCCACCAAAGGATTATTTTTTTATTGCGAAAATATCAAGAACAACGAAGGCAAATTCTCAAACCTTTTAAGAAAAGACAAAATGTTCCCAGTTACAAATCTCAATTGCAATCGTTTTTAAGTAACAGTGAACGATTGTTTGACATAGCGACCTGTAAATGTAAGGATTCTGAAACTGTTGCATGTAATTGCACAAAAAAATATAAGGTAAACTGAAACTCTGATACGTTATTAATTTAATAACTTTTCTTAACACATTTTTTAGGTACCTCGACTGGAAAGAGCATTTCTTCTAGACCAAAGAACTTGTCGTAAAATGAAGATTGGTGCCCTTGATAAAGTTGAATCCCAGAAACTTTTGCAGAAGGAGAAAAAAGCATTCATAATGGCTTCGTCACATACATAAGAATCAACTAGTGTACCAGTCATTGAAAAAGTTCAATCTTCTTGTGAATTACCGACAGATGTTTGTGATAAATATGATACTGAAGATTTTGACCCAGACTTCTCTATTCCATATGCAAATACTTCAAAGTTGCCCGTGTTTAACTTACAACCTAGCTTATCGAATTTGCCCAGTACCTCAGAGGGCATTCAACGCAATCTGAAAGAAATACCAAGATTAGCTGAAACACTTGACCAATATTTGGTTTCAGACCGAGCAGGAGCAGCTATTGCATCAGCGGTGCTACTAGATTTTGGTGTCATAGATCCGCAAAATAAAACAAATATCATCGATAAGAACAAAATAAGAAGAGCAAGAGAAAAGAAAAGAATTGAGGTTCAGAACGATTCCATTCCATTATGTCTTCGTGGTCTTTACTTTGATGGACGGAAAGACAAGTCTTAAGTGTTCCAGGAAAATGCAAGAAAAACTGTGTTGGAAGAGCATATCACAATGTTAGAAGAACCTGGTTCTAAGTATCTGGGTTACATTTGTCCTACATCTGGCACTGCTATTAATGTAGCAAATGCAATCTTGGAGTATTTAAAAAAATGTAATTTGGACCTCAATAACTTCAAAGTCGTTGGATGCGACGGTACTGTCACAAATACAGGGCGTAAAGGAGGCATTATAGTGTTATTGGAGAATAAAATTGGAAGGCCCCTGCAGTGGTTTGTCTGTCAGCTTCACGCCAACGAGTTTCCTCTAAGACACCTATTTGAAAAACTGGATGGCAATACCAGTGGACCAAGTGCGTTTTTGGGGCCTCTTGGAAAACGACTGCAAGTTTGTGAAACTCTTCTTGTAGTTTCATTTTCAACACTAGATTCATCAGTGGACGAATTTCGCAGCGACGATCTAAGTACAGATCAAAAATACCTGTACGATATTTGTCAAGCAGTAAAAAGTGGTGCTTGTTCAGAAAAACTTTCTAAGAGACGGCCTGGAAAAATGGTTCATTCTCGGTGGCTTACCACTGCTTCCCGTATCCTTCGGTTATATGTAGCAACCAGAAACTCATCGGAAAATTTACAAATACTAAGCCATTTTGTAATGAAAGTGTATGCGCCCATGTGGTTTTGTATTAAGACTCACCCGTCATGCATTTATGGTGCAAGGCATCTATTCAAGACAATAAGACTCTGCGACTATTTACTACCAGAATTGAAAGACATAGTCTATAAATGTATTCAAAGAAATTGATACTTTGGGAGCCCAGAAAATATTATTTTGGCTATGTTGTTTGACAAACGTAAACACATAAGACAATTGGGGTTCCAAAGAATTTTGAAGAGCAGACAGTTAAATTACAATGGTCAGCGACATTTCGTAGTACCAGAATTATTTTTTGGCAGTAAGGATTACTTTGAGATTATCGACTGTCAAAAAGTTTTATGGACAGAGCCTCCTGTAACTATGAAGCTATCAAAAGACCAACTAAGGGAAGTTGTTGAAAATCCTGAAACCAGTCTTTTGGCATACGTAAAATCATACCCTTGTCACACACAAGCGGTTGAGAGGGCCGTCAAAATAGTAACAGAAGGTTCAGCTTCTGTCTGTGGAAGTGAAAAAAGAGACGGTTATATAAGGAACAGGCGGAAATCAAGGGAAAATGTGCCGAAATATAAATCAAAGACAGACTTTTTTCGTAAAGGATTTTTCGTAGAAAGGATTTTTTCGTAAAAATCTCGTTCTTATATAGCTCTGTGGCAATGGAAAAAAATTAAATTAATTATTAAAAAAACACTGTGATATAAGTTATCTTATCATACAACTTTTCTGGGGTCAGGCAACTTAATTAAAAAAATAAAATAAAAACACATTACTCAACGGCCCACCCTAAATACATTGTATATTGCTCGCCTCTTTCGATATTCTGTTGGTTGATTGTAAGTTGAGCGTTTAGTATTGGTTTTTTACTAATTGTCATAAATTTGGTTTTCTTTATATTAAGAGCTAGTCCGTAGAGCTAGTGTTGCTGACTTCTGTTATGCGATTTGTTAATATCTGTAAGTCATTCTGATTACAGAATTGTCATTGATACATTAAAATATCGAAATTTGGGAATCAGTCTATCGTCACACAGGATTAACATATTTGGCACGTATGTATATAATACATAACAAGATCAAATATGTATAAAAAAGAAATAAATCTTTTAATGTTTTCTTATGTTTTAAAGCTCTATAAAAAATATATAAATAAAAGTTCAATTGCAACAATACTGGAACTAAGGTTTAAAACTTACAGAGGAATTAACATTTGCATCTGATCCTGGAGGTCTAAGTTCCGGTGAAGACTTTCATTTTTAGTAAATACTTGTAATTTGAAGGCAAGAGCAACTGCCACAAAAATAAGTAACCTCTTGACAGGCAAAAGATTGTCAAAATTATTGGTAAAAAACAAAAAAGAATGGAGAAAATTCATCAAAAGCTAGACTCACTTCCCTCGACACCTAACGGTAGATGAGGAACGATTATGCATGTATGACATGGCGTTTTGACATTATACGTGATATTTTGACACAATACGTAACGTTTTGAGTATACATGTAACAGATGCATCAAACATACCTGACAGATACGTCGCACGCTATTACATTGTTGTCACAAAGCTGTTACGTAGCCGTAGTAGGCAACCACGTTGCTCTAGTATAGCTAATGGATTTCGACAAGAGCTATGACCTTGTAAATAACAGGTAAACTTGTGTACTGAATCGGCATGACTCATAGCTCTTGTCAAAATCCATTACCTTTAACATTGTCACGCATATGTAACGGATTTATCTCCGAGAAATAATTGTACTGACAGTGAGATAGAGAGGACATAGTGTTGAATGGGATTTGCAGTGTGTTAGGGAGGAAATATAATTTTGCCATGTTGATCTTTTGCTTTGCTTAATAATGAATTTACTTTAGCTTTAAGTTGTTTGTCTGGAAGAAGATTTTCCTGGTTTTTATTTTACCGATACCTATTTAAAGCATTCTTGGATAAACGAATGGCATTGTTACAATCTGAGTTCCACCAACTTACCATTTTGTGTAGAGAAGATGGTTCTTTACGGATATGAGATTCGGCAGCAGTGAGTTAAGTCTTGAAACTTAAAAAATTTGTTTTTTTCTTGTTTTTTTTCAGATTTCAAATTTTGGCGTTTTCTTCGATACTAATGAAGAAATGAGTAAAAATTGTAAGATTTACGAATGGATTTAGTGTCTGCAGTCATTTAAACATAAACAAACAACAACAAATACCTTATATCGGTTTATTCTCGCAGCGGCGGCTCGTGGCCTAAAAAATGGTGAAGATGAGGAAAGCTTGCCAGAGCCAAAGGAGTTCTGGTACCTACGTCGCGCCCAAATCTCATTAAAAATTCGTTAAAAAAATGTATAGTTATAGAAAAACTAAACTAATAAATACTATACTTATACACTATACTATATAAAAAATGTCTATATAATAAACTAAATTTCAAAATATTGTCGGTGCGAATACTAAATAGGTACCCATACAACTAGTGGCCAGTGGGTGAAGACGGATAAAATATTTTTTAACGTAACTTCACTAGCTATTTTTTTCAACTATCACTAGCGACAGGCTAACATCAGTTGCCATAGCAATCGTAAATGCTTATGCAGATGGATTTCGCATTTCAAAAGAGGATATTTACCTATTCCTTGAATCATACACAGCAAGTGACACAGGTCAGGACTTAACCATCAAGTACCTACCACACCGCTAATAAAGCTAGTTGTCTTTTTTAACTTTTAGATAAATTAAAAGAGAATAAATCATTGATTTCAGAATTTAGATATAATAATGTTGCTTTTATTTTTTTATTTATTTGTCTCAATTTATTTATATTTTTTTGGTGAACCTTACCTTCATCTACTTCACCTGGCCGGCCGCCGCTGTTATTCTGTATATTTTTATTATTATTGTACTATTTTATAAATATCGAAATAATATATTATGACTTACTTCATTATTTATTATTAATTCTTTGGAACCGTGCGTATTTTCTATAGACTCAGGTATATAAAATATTGTATACGCTATACCGATTGATACACATGCCAGTCCAATTGCAAACATGGATGGATAATTAGTAGCGTAAAATATATAAGAACTTGTAATGCTTCCCAAAAGAGAACCAGTTGCTAAGGCTACTTCAGAAAAAACCATTCTAAAATGCAAAAAGTATTTTATTAAACTTATTTAAGAACTTATATTTATAAGAATTTATATTTGCATATATTTGTATATTATGTAAGTGTGATCTGAAAATTGCAGAAAAATAGCTGTGATGTAAACAGATCCGCTAGGCAGGGGATATGCCATGCCAGAAGGAATTACATAGCATTATACTTGCATGGCCTTTTTTGTGATATATGTTTGTGTAGTGTGTATCGTACTGGTGGTTGTATAACGAAGGTTATAACTAGGTTGTTGTGTAACATAAATTATAATAATTTTGCGTTGTGTGTTGCATATGTATTTTGTGTGAGTTGCAGGTGATTTCTCTGTTCCTATTAGTCCGCTATTGCAGATATATTTTTGTTGTTGACTTCTTCTTTTACTATTGGCAACCAAAGCCTACTAAAGCTACCAAAGCTGTTGCCAAAGCAACAAAGTACCTAGGATTGGGGTTACAGAGTAATAGAGAAATTGCTATGCCCGTTAGTAGACAAAGAACTCACCTCATACCCCTGGATTCCTTTGTTGAAGTATCGGATATGTAGGACAGCACTATTGCAAAAAATGTAGTATTACTGCCTGTTATCATAGTTGGTATTGCAGTGATTAAAAATATCCAGGGAGAAAAGTTTTCAAACAGGCAGTACAATATTATTAGCCCGCAGCCTAATGCCATACCTAAAGAAATATTTTATTTTTTAATATAATTTTATTAATTACATAACAAAACATGCAATAAATGAAAATATGGAGTATGAGCATCGATAGTAATATTTATTATATCAAAATGCTAAGTTTATTATTATCATCATACTTGATAGGGAACCTAAAAAACTGTCGAGTTTGTGAATGACTTATAGGACTTTTCATCAGCCGCCATGCTTTTCGTACAAACAGATTTGACAATGACGTATAATATATATTATACTCCTTACGTACTGGTTTATATTTTTATAAAAAATATTTATTAAATAAATATTCCATATCAAAATAAAAATGTAAAGAATGTAATCAGATGTAAAGAATTACATATTCCATATCAACACCGCTTCGCTGTTACTTTTAGTACATGTATCATAATGATAATCACACCAACACAGATGCAAACGTAACCAAAACGGTTACTGTGAAGGCCATTTTTGATCACTACTTTAATTAATATTGAAGGAATATTAGCAAATAAAGACGATTTATTGTCTAATATGTGTAGAGAACACGGTGTACTGCAAGCCGCAGACCAACGATTCGAGGTATGAGACCACATGACCAGAACCGCCAAACCGCCAAACGCCGACTTTGTTTTTAAGGAACCAGATAACTTTCAATCACAATAAAATTCATACTGGGTGACTTTAACTGTCACAGTATCGCGTGGAGGGGAGGTATAACGAAACATATTCCAGTGGCGAAGAACTGGACTAAAAACATGAACCTCAAACTTATTCATGATCTAAAACAGCCCACGTCTTTCAACAACGGAAGATGACGCTTAGGTTATAACCTAGACAATATATTTGTCAGCGACAGGATTGGAGACCAGGTAACAATAATTGTTAAAAGCGCCCTCCCAAAAACACAGCACAGACCAATAACGTGTCTTTTGAACGCGGCAATCAGATACAAAATTTTTCCTTTCAAGAAAAGGTTCAATTTCACTAAAGCAAAATTTGCTGAAGCATTAGATCAAGAAGTTTCCCAGCTAGAACCGTGCTTTCTGATTCATACGATAAATTTGTACAAATCTTAAAACAAATACCATGAAAATATATTCCTAGAGGTTGCCAAACCGAATACATAGCGGGGCTAAATGAAGAATCTAAACCCCTACTTAAAAGATACGAGAAGCTATATGAAGGCGATCCCTTTTCGGAAGCAACAATACAGGCCGGGGAGGAAGTTCTACATGCGATATCCGCCAACAGAACGGACAGGTGGTTCAAGCCGATTACGAGTCTAGACATGAAATAAAATAGCAGAAGCGCTGGGAAATGAATTCAGAATCTTAACAACAATTCCGCTGCCCGGCACCCAATCTAACCAAAGTCACACCCGATCAGATCAAAGTGAGAGTACAACACACATACAGGAAGAACAAAGTGAGAGTACAACGAAATATCGATGAAAAAGAGGATTTTTTAGGTACCTCCTTTTGCCTGGAGGAGATGAGAGGTGCGATTCACGACGCGAAAGATAATGGGGCAGCTGGTATAGATGATATACGAACAGAACAAATAAAGTACTCTGGACCAAAAACCGTAGAGTGGCTCGTAAAAATGATGAACTGTTGCGTCCGTACATTCCAAATCCCCTCTTAAAACCAGGAAAGGATCCGGCGAATACAAACAGTTTTAGACCTGTCTCTCTTTTGTGTTACCTTTTTAAGGCAATTACTATTTAAATGGGAATAAGCCACAATTAAAGGTTAAAATACGTTTATTGACGTTTCAATTTCCACTTCGGAAATCGTTCTCAAAATACAAATATTAAAAATACAATGTTTGTATTTTGAGAACGATTTCTGAAGTGGAAATTGAAACGTTAATAAACGTATTTAACCATTAATTGTGGCTTATTCCCATTTAAATAGTAATTACTTTAAAATGCCACAAGAAAATAGCTTTTTAAGGCGTTCGAAAGAATGATACTGAACCGGATCACTGAATCTGTAGGCACTAAAATTATTCCTTAACAAGCAAGGTTTAGACCCGGAAAATGCTACTGCAGTGAAATTCTTAATCTTACCCAACATATTGAAGATGGGTTTAATCGGAAAGAAATAACAGGAGTAGAGTTCACCATCAACGCTGCTGGTAAAACTCTACGAAATTACAAACGATTTCCGAATAATAAGGTTAATGAAATGTCTTCTCCAGAATAGACGCGTCTACGTAACGCTCCAGTCCAAAAACAGTTGGTGGAGGGAAAAAAATGGACTCCCACAGGGAAGTGTCCTTGCGCCGATGTTATACAACATTTACACCAACGTCTAACTCAAAAACAAACAAACAAGACAGTTTATTTACGCGGATGATACAACTGTGGCAGCTCAGGAAAGTACCTTCAATGAAGTCGAAGTAAAGCTGACAGATGCCCTAGAAGACTTAGCACTATACTATAACAAAAACCATCTAAAACCCAATCATATAAAAACCTAGTTGTGTGCTTTCTTGCTTAGAAACAAACATGCCCGAAGGACACTGGAGGTGGAATGACATGGTCAGATGCTGGAACACAATAAGACGCCAAAATAAATCGGCATACGTGTGGATAAAACTTTGTCTTATCGATATCACTGTTAAGATGTCAAGAAAAAATTAAGCGCCAGAAATAATATCATCCGCAAAATAACAAATACAAAATGGGGAGCACAACCACACACTCTCCATACGTCTGTCTCAGCGTTATATTTTTCTGCCGCCGAGTTTGAAATACCAGTATGGGAAAACTCTGCTCACACTAAAAACGTCGATATTACGTAAAATGAAACGGTTGGTATAATATCTGGTTGCCTGAAACCGACGACTATCGAAGAGGTCTACCCTATAGTTGAAATCGCTCATCCTGCTATTAGAAGACAGGCCACGTCAGAGATAGAACGAAAGAAGCAGGAGAAGGATCGAAAACACATCTTGTATGACCACCAAGTTCAGCCGAGTAGGCTAAGATCTCGGAAGCGCTTTCTGAAAAAATCACGATCCCTTCCCGAAGAGGCTAAGACGCGCCGAATACACTTATGGCAAGCGTCAGATACAACACATTTTGCTCCATCAGCGGAAATTGCCGATGGACACAATTTGCCGTATCCCATATAGAAAGCGCTAAACAGACTAAGAATTGACGTTTCGCATTGTGCTAGTAATCTGAAGAAATGGGAATACCAGTAGGACGATACCGCGACTGTGGCGCGGTTCAGAATAGTCACCATCTACTATCATGCACAGAGATGAGTGAGACCTGCAGAGAAGAAGACCTCTTTTTAGCGAATGACAGGGCCATCTATGTGGCCAACCATAGGAAATACAAAATTAAAGCTGTTGGTGTTCCGGATACGGAAAATAAGTAAGAAGTATAATAATCGATTTAAAAAAATGATTTGCTAATTGTGGCACTTTATTTTTTTCAATAACTCGAGTTTCTTTGGTATTTTTTATATTCATTATCTATGTTTGTTTGTTTACAAAATGTCTCTTCGAAAAAGAAAATAGCTGACACTATTTTTTGATGAAAAGTCCGATTGGACTGATATAAAAAGGTTCAAAAATCTATGGGTTCAAATTAATGAAAAAACTGGATTGACTTAAATGCCTCGATTAGCTCTTTTTAAATCTTCAGAAATCATCTTTTAGGCAGAAGTATTCAACCAATTAAAAGGAACCGTTTTTGAAATCAAAAATATTTGTATATTTTTCTGTATAAAGCAAATGCTAGTGACATTTGGATTAAAATTCTTGGTTCTACTGTAGAAAATAAGATGTCAAATCGTATTGCCAAGTTTAGAGAATAATTTCTTCTAAGCGGTTCTAATATTTCGTTAGAAATAAAATAGAAAGCTGTAGAGGAAGCATCGTTTGAGTTCGATTTTATCAACCTCCTACTACTTCACTACCGTATTGGACAAAGTCCTTTACGCAGATCGTACTGTAGATCCAGCGAAGTCACGTCCTCACTCCTCAACGTGTAAAGCCAGAATGATGATGATGATTTTCATATTACCATATATGCACTGGTAACAATTTTAAACGCAGTCATTGGTTATTGTATGAATAGGATATGCAACACAAATCTCGTTATACGTTACCATTTATATCTCTTTCTATAGAAGTAATTATAACATCACTGTTTCAGCTAAGAATGATGATCTCTCTGCTCGTTATACTTATATATTTATATGTGGACCTAATTAGTAAGCTATCAAAATCAATCTAAACCAAAATGTCTACCACTAAATTTAATATACAAAAATAAAAACACTTCAAACTACTCACCTCCTAAAGTAACCAATAAAACTGGTTTTCTTCCATGCTTATCAGACCATGAACCTGCAATTAGGCAAATAAACGTCGGCAGAAGTAAATCGAGGAGATTCTTTACCATTAGTACAACATCTGCATAAGGTTGAACCATTTTTTCATAATGATGAGTTACATTATTATCTTTATTTCCTAACTGGGAACAATCGCTTTTCTCGTAACCGAGTGTTATATAGCATGTTCGATATATAATCAAGTTTGTTACAACTGAAGCTAAAATAAAAAAAATTCACTTTTTGGTATTTACTTAACAAATTCTCAACTACAGACATACAAAAAATTAGATAAATGACATTATAAGCTCTATAGCTATAATGGTAACCGTTCTGCAGACCTTTTAGAGGAAGACAACTTATGCTTTCTCAATACAGAAGAGGTGAGAAGAACAGTGACTCTGACTTAACGATAGCATTTCAGAATTGGCTGTGGACTGTATTTGGGAAGTTTTTGCAAAGATAGGAGCAAGTGATCACTTTCCATTTGTAGTATGTTTTGGGCAAGATAGAAATAGCCCCGAAATAAATGACCCTCTTTAAGGTTATATTAGGTTAGGTTAGAAATAAATGACCCACTTCAAGGTCTCACTATCCTTAATATAAAAAAGCCGATTGGAAGTAATATAATTAATACATTGAGTCTAACATTCAAAATATACTTCATGATTCATACAAAAAATTTCAGAACATAATATTAGATGCAGTAAATATGTTCATCCACAAGAAAAAGCGTATTACATTTTATAAACCACAATAACTTTGATGGGATAAAGAGTGTTCAATTTTGATTAAATCACATAGGTAGGCAGTTGGGAAGTTTAAATAGGAGCTTTCTTTAGAAAACTTTGTTGATTTTAAAAATGATAGGACGGACACATTGTAAAAAAGAACTTAAATCGAAAACGAAAAAATCATTTGCAGTATTTTGTTTCACAATATCCCCTGATACAAAATATCAGTTATGTGAAGGAAATTGAAAAGTTTCCATAAAGCCTTCCAAAGTCTTAATCAGAACTTCTAGCAATTCTTGGTTAAAAATGGAAATGCTTTTCTCATTGACTCCATCTGTTTTTATATATAATACTGTTCCGAATCAGGATGGTATAACATTTTCTACGTTGCAACATCTTCCAGAGTTAGCAATCAATTTCCTGTTAAATTTTTTCGATTTATGCTTTAAGGAGGGACAACATATTCCAACCAATGGAAATCGCAAATAGTTTGTTGAATCCCCAAACCCAATAAAATATAAACTGCCTTTCATGTTGAAGACCAATTGCTCTATTTATGTGTTAGTAAACTTTTAGAGAACATGATAAAATATGGTTAGATTAGTGTGTAGAAAACATTATTTATTTGGTAAATAAAATTTCTAAGAATATGTCAGAAAGAAAGCCAGCGGCTGCTGTTATTTTAGACATTGCTTCAGCATATGATCAAGGATATATTATCCAATTATTAGATGCTTTGGGAGATTTTAATTTATCATGGTTACTTATATTGAGATGATTAAACATATATTGAAAAATCGTTTGGTGTTTGTCCGTGATCCTATTTCCTTTAATATGTTTATACTGGCATGAACTGCCAATGTTGGCCTACCTCAAGGTTCTCCTGCGAGTCCATTATTATTTAATATGTTCAGTAATATAATTTCAGTTTGTGTACCTGAGGACGTCCTAATGACTAAGTATGGAGATGATGTTGCTCTCTTTCTAGCTAAAGTCATGCATGCAGCGCAACATGGGTAGAGGTTTAATTACACAAATGTATCGTATGAGGAGTGGACATTGCAGTGTCCCAGTACATTTATTTAGATGAAAAGTAATGAATACAAATCAGTGTTTATGTGGCAGTTTAGGCTGTTCAAATACAGCACTCGCAGTGCAAAAGTTTTTAGGGTCAACAACGACACATGTATAGTTTGCTAATGTACTTTATAATATTTTAGCTGCTTGCTTGGAGTGCATGTGATTAGTGCAGATTGGTGCGGTAGTACTGGACTATAACTAATAGAACTTATGTGAAATAATTTATAAAGAATTAATTTTTCTTTTTTTTTTAACTATTGTTACAGATTTAGCAGTTACGAACTTAAAGGCTGATTTATAAACTTTACGTTGGCGTTGGCGCTGGCGCTGACGTTCACGTAAAGACCCGTTTTCACGCTACGTCTTATTGTACGTTTTGTTGGATAGGACGAATCCTATACAATAAAACGTGGCGTGTAAACAGGAAAACGTACGTCTTGTCGAATCGAAATGAAATCCAAATATATTGTGTGTGTATACACTGGACAAAACGTACGTTTTGTCGTACGTTTTATATGACCGACAAAACGTGCAATAAGACGTAGCATGAAAACGGGCCTTTACAACGTGGTCAAATGGGAAACTCGTATGTCTATTTATAAACATCGTTCGCCGTTGGCGTTGGCGTTCGGTTCCGTTCAAGATGAACCAACTTTATCTTTTGCTATTGGTCGTTGTAGCACAGAAAGCACCAACCCTTCTGTGGTTGTAGTCACGATCACAGAACATAAACAAACTGTATCTATTTCATCGCAGTCAATAGCAATACCGAAAAAGTAAAAAGGTTTGACAAACAAATCCAACTAAATTATTTGTTTATGTTTGTGTTTCTACGTGTTTAGAAAGTGGAAGAGTTTAGATAATAACAAGTCTCTCTTCAACAGAAATTCCATCAGAGGGATAGTTTACATTTATTTTTGGTTTTACAATTTAAAGTAATTTTTAAAATACTGGAATCTGCATCCTGGTATATTTAAAAAGCTGCTGAGTATCCAAGTTTTTCATATTTTTATAATAATTAAAATTACCTCTTGTCTTTCTGTTCTGGTTAATAGGCCTCCGTAGCAAGCAAGGAATTTGATTGAACCCAGCCTATGAGAAATGTTCACCCAGGTAGTACGATCGGGTGTAACAATTCATTGGAGCAAGGTGTTTTAATTCGAGTTTAAAAACAGGAATCACCCCACCGTGCTCCAATGCTCTAGACCATCCCTTTCCCCCCTATAGCAATCTGATTCGCTATAGAGGCACAACAATCAGCCAAGTGCTCTTCATGTGAAGGTCCTGGGTAATTGAACCCCAACATGGTTTCCTAACCGTTTGTGAAAACTCAGGACAGCGCATTTCCGCTTTATTCCTGTTTATCTTAATGTAGCTTATCGGCGAATAGGCCTCCGTCTTTATGGACGTTGTCTTTTATTTTGAAGGCTCAGTGCTGCTCGAATACAAAGTATCAGTGCCACTGCACCTAACAAAAGGCGAGCATTTTCATTTTCCATTGTATTAATTTTCAAAAAGCAAAAATTAATAATACCAAATCAAAAATGTACGGTTGGAAATTTAGATGTGATTTCTAACGCCAACGCCAACCGAAAGTTTATAAATACAGTCTATAATAGTCAGCGCCAAGGTCAACGGCGAACGCCAGCGCCAACGCCAACGTAAAGTTTATAAATCAGCCTTAAACCCAGATGCACCAGAAGTAAGCAATCAGTATAAATAGGTTCCTGGCCGGATAGCCCTGGTAGGTAAGGCGAAACAAATGAATGGAAGAAGAAGAACTTGAAGACTATCGGCGCAACAGACTACCTAAGCTCTGACGTCACAAAGGAGGGGGCTTTTAAAAACCTTTCCGAACAAATCTGTTTTACGTGTATTTCTCCCATAAGAAGTTGGAAATATTGATTTTTTATTTGTTTAAAGAATAAATAAGGACTTCTAGTTATGAACATTTATTCTGTGTGATTGGTATTATTTGTTGCTCGTGAATTTGTGACGTAAGAATATCAAAGTTAAGATATTTACTCTCAAAATAATTTTTAAAAAGATGTAATTGAACATAATATAACCTCAAAATATTAACTTGGACAGTAAAAATCTTAATACTTCGATATTCTTATCTCACAAATTCACAAACAACAAATAATACCAATCGCACATAATGAATGTGCATAACCAAAAGTCCTTATTTATTCTTTAAACGACTAAAAAAAACAATATTTTCATTCTTATGAAAGAAATACACATGCAAGAGATTTGTTTGAAAAGGTTTTCCAATCAAAGCCCATTGTGACGTCAGACTTAGGTAGTCCATACCGGTTATATTGGAGGCAGAAATTAGAGGAGGTCAAGGCTCAATTTGAGCTTTAGCATCATTATAGAAAGAAGGAAGATGTTTTCGTTTATCACTAGACCAGTGTAATAAAACGTCTTTTGACTGCGCAGCAAACACACATTTCTGTACAGCATAATCAAAAACAATTTATTACATTGTTTTCGAAAAAATCTAATAAAAATATCTTTGCCACATATTTGTTTGAGGAACGCAAATGACACCGAATTAATACGTTGTAACAATATTCATAAAATTTGAAAACGACGGATTGTGTTATGGTACACCTCTGATCATATCGTACGTGCAAATTCTAATTTATTAAAAAACTATAAAAAATATACTTACATGTCAGCAAAAAATATACATAATTAAGAAATAGAGGAACTTCTACAGTGACCTTGTTACTGCATGCCATTTTGATAATCTAGAACAACAAGTATCAAGTATCAAATATTATTTATTAGAGTTTTCATTATTCAGCGTAAAAAAATGGAAAAATGTACATTGACAACATTTTAAAAGTCTTAAGGCTGAGTAGAGAAGTGGAAAAAATGTTTAGTTTTTAATATATAAAAAAGTACATGAAGTTTTAAGAAATTATTTCTATGTAAAGGTAAAGATTATGTATTTATGTAACATATAAAAGATTCACTAATTTTTTATTTGTTTTAAGAGACATTTTAATTGGTAAAATAAAAAGTACTTTTTATTGTAATTTTTCCTTCTAGCACCACAAGTTTTATATTCAGTTTCAAGCAAAAAATTTAGCTGAGATAATAATTTAAACAAAAATGTTATTCCACTTTTTGCATAGAATGAACCGATCTCCTAAGGAACATTTAAATCAAAGCGAAGAAAAGCAAACGAACGAAGGAACGAATTCGTAGGTGTTCGCTTGTTCATTTGCTTTTGTTGACAAAAGAAAAAAAGAGAGATGATCCCTTGTTAATTAATTTAACGACTGATAATTTAGGTTAAGTTACAAATTTCTGTAGAATGGCTATGGATGATTTTGAAACCACGTAAAATTATAAATTGTGTCAGTCCCACTATCTGATTTTTTTGAAGAGCCTATGAAGCTCCTTTTGTACTTCTCTTCTAAATGATCCCAGAAGTGAAGTAATTTTTTTTACTTCAGAAACATCAAAATTCATATTAGTAGAAATTTTGTTAAAGGCATCAGTTTTTTTTTATTATTATTTTATATAATTACGACTTCGGATTCCCTAGACGTTCTTCGTTGCTACATAATTCAATTAATTGAAGCGTTTTTTCATTCGTCCATTCCATGGAATAAAATTATTCACGCATACAAGTGACTACACACCAAACAACCCTCTAAAACTGATTTGAAAATAAATTAGTATTAAAAACAATAGTTCCCAATGAATGCATTCGTTACGTTCTATCCACTGTTCACACTGAACACATTTCTTTTGATGATTCACTGATTTATCAACTATGTTGGAACATGTCCGAACTCGAACGACTTTGTTCGGTCGTGTTTGGTTCGCTGTTGTAATACAATAATTTTAACAACGAAATCGTTCGTTCGTTTGCGTTCGCTTTGATTTAAATGCAGCTTGAAGGTCATCAGCTTCAACCTGTGCATATGACGCTCGGATGATACCTAATAAGGTTGAAATACGTATAAGCCGATGGCAAATGCCCTGCATTGAAATTAAATCTAAACCCGTCTTTCTGGATCCGTATTCTGCAACTCGTGAGAGTGCTCGTGCACGACAACTCATCGATATGAGTACTCTCTCGGTCATCGCTCACATGGTGCTAAAAAACCCTATTCACTATGATTCAGCGAGTCTACTACATTTTACCCAGCGTTGCCAAAGCGAACGAGTAACTTTGACCTATTATTTAGTTCAAATGTACCTACTGTAGGCCTAGCCACAACCATTTTCACGATAAAACGAAATGAAGAAGCAAAGTTTTTGCTGTTAGGTTAGTTGTATCTGATTGTATTTGTTTTGTCAATTCTCGTTCTCGTTATTTATAAACTATTATATTATTATACTTTTAACTTTTAAGAACTTTGAGATATATTAAGCGTCTATATTCTTTGGTTATATATTAGTTATATATTTTTAGTTATATTTTATACTTTTAAGAACTTTTAGTTATATTATATTAGTTATATTTGTTCTTTGGCGAACTTGTAAAAATGGCGTTAGTTCATCGCAAAGATATATAAAGCTGTCTTTATTGAGACGGAAATGTTTAATAAAATTCACCTCAGATAACATTAAAAAAGGGTCTTCCCGTTGGAAATAGAGACGTGGTATATTATTTTCAGCTTGTTTCCTCTTCAACATCGGCGATTAACATTAACATTATTATATCGTCATCATCCATTATGAAAACAATATATAAAAACCAAATACAAATAGGAGTCAACAACCTTTTTAAAATTTCAATAACCTTTCATATAAACTGTACCTATTCTATACAATATACAATATTCTTCATGTTATTGCCTTCTGTCACTTATAATTTCTACGGCGCATGTCCACTCTCTTAAAATTTCGCAATTCTCTTAGTTTTACCCAGTAGAGTAGGAGAGTACTCGCATAGGAGTATATGAGCGTTCTCTTACATTTTCGTGAATACGGATTTTACAATTTCAGGAGAGTGACTTGCGCATTAAAGCAAAATTGTGAGAGAGAACTCCTACACGACCACTCACTTAAGTTAGTGAATAGGGCTCCTGTTTTACTTCTGTACTCGGTTTTGAGTAATAGAAACTAAATTCACTAAGAATTTTTACCGTGATGAACGACAAGTGGAATGCAAATTGCAGATTCCCTTGTGGACTAATTTATCAATCTGTCTACTTTGCAAGTTATAGAAAGCGCAATGGTAAAAATTTGAATTTAGTTTCGCCAAGTAAGAAATCTTAGGATTTCTAATGTTGTTATATGGCGTTCTAACGTCTGGAAATAATTATTTTTATAAAAGTTGTATTATGGCGGGAGAGATTTAATTTCGATTAATTTAATTTAATTGAATAGGTTACTATTAATTAATGAATATACTAAAGGTTAAAGAGGCATAAGAAAGATTATTATATCAAAATTAAGTTTTTCAAAATTAGGACGATGATCTAAGACTTATGTCTAAATAAGTATCGAGACGCGATGCTGAATATTCACAAATTTCATAGTGAAAATATAAATACAATCGAATATTATACAGAATTATCCAGAAATTCTCCTGACAAAAGAAGACCGAAGATTTTTCAGATAATTTTAAGCTAATTAAACCCAATTCACCAAGTCCGAAAATGCTTCCTAAGGGAGCTAGAGCGTTTTGAAGATGGCGCCTTTTAATTAGTTTTTTTTAATAGAATTTCTAGTACCGATCATAGGCGTCATTTTGGGTAGATCAATAGTTATTTTAAACCATTAATGGCCAAGCATTGAAATACTTAGATTTTCTGCAATTCAAGTTTATATACTTTATAAATCTGTGTGTCGGAGGTAAACTACACTATGTCAACTTAGTGTAATATTGAGATCTTGACATAGTGTTACGTAATTTTAAATTCTCTTTCTAAAGGTATAATCCACTATGTCCTAGCTCGACTGTAAATGCATTATTCTGGAGGATATATTACACTATGTATTAACTTCTATAGAGGTATATATCACCAACAGTACTTGGTGTTGTTTTCCTATTAAGATTGTCACATTTCCTTTGCACTATGTGGACATAGTGTAGTATTCCTCTGGGTATAACATAAGATTCATTGTGTTTAGAAACATGATCGGTGTTATTTTTGGCAACTATGGCAAGTTTGTCATGGTATTCGAGATTATCAACGTAGCCTAGCAAGTTGTTATAGTGGGTTTTATTGTTTATTTGTTTGTATTAACTGTTAGTGAATCATATTATTAGATCATGAATTCCAGAGGGAAAAAGCTGGTACAAATGGTTGTTTTTAATATGGCAAATAACGAGAATTTTGGTAAGTAAATGTGTTGCTAATAATAATAATTAAGGTTAGGTTGTAAATTTAATTTTACGAGTGAAGCACATAAGGTTACGTATGGTTGTTTTGCGACGTTGCCAGATCTTATATTCTATATTAGATACAAGGAATTTTGTTAAAGATTTTTTTTTGTTTACAGATAGCGATGTGTCGATATGTAGAAATATAGAAGATGCACCAAATTCTCAAGTGGAAAGTAATGAGGGCCATACAGGTAAACTTTCTTAATGTTTATGATCCATATCATATTTTATTTAAAAGAATATTTTTTGTTTACAGATAGCGATATGTCGATATGTAGAAATGTAGAAGATGCACTGAATTCTCAAGTGGAAAGTAATGAAGGCCATACAGGTAAACTTTCTTAACACTTATGATCCGTATCATATTTTATTTTATTTACTCCTTCAGGAGCTCCAGTAAATGAGCTGATGGTACCATCCTGTAGTCAGCGGTCCCGATGTTCTTCATTTAGCAGCAATACAGATGATTCTTTTCTTGATGAAACATATAATCCAAGTAGTATGGAAGAATCTGATTCAAGTTCAAACACAAATGGAAATCTGTACCGAAAGACGAAAAATGAAACCGCAACATTAGATTATAAAAAAGCAAATGGTAATTTAGATTCTAATAAAGGTGTTATTGGAAAACAAAAAAATACAGTTAGAAGCACGAATGTTTCAACTGAACAAGAACATGCGGATAATATTACTCAAAAGAGAAAAGTCAAAAACAAAACGGAACTTCAACAACTGGGAAAAAAGAAAGTCGTACACGTTAATAAGTGGAAGTGTAATAAACGAAAACTAAGCTACGCAGCTGGAGAAACATATGTGTCCAAAAAAGGAAAGACTGTTTCTGCAAGAGAAATGAAAGCCGTCTGTTCTTGTAGAATGAAATGCTTTGAAAAATTTACACATAGTGAGAGGCTCACTATTTTTAATCACTATTGGAGCTCTACGGCTGATTATAATATCAAGCGTCAGTTTATTGTTTCTTGTGTGGAAAGTAAACCCACAGCAATAACGAGACGAAACGTCACAAAACCAAAACAAAGTACGCTGATTTATAAGTTTTTCGTCAACAATGTAGCCATTAAAGTATGTAAAACTATGTTTTTAAATACTCTGGCAATTTCAAATTCAGTTGTTATAACTGCTTTAAAGAAAAGACAACCTAGAGGAATAATTGAATCAGACCAAAGGGGACGACAAGTTCCTAGTAACAAAACATCCGAAGTTATTATCCAGAACGTTACTCAACATATACTGTCGTTTCCTTCGTACGAGAGTCATTACTGTAGAGAACAAACTGAAAGTAAATTTTTGTCTCCAGAGTTAAATATCGAGAAAATGTATCAACTTTACATAAAACATTGTAAAGAGATCAATATACCTACCTCTGCCATTGCTAAA